CTATGTACACAATTCTCAACAAGGGTGTAAAGTACTCAGAGGCAATTTCATTGAAAACTTTGACTTAAATCATCTAATATCGGCAGGTACGGTTATATAAGGAATACACGATAATGCGCACCTATGTGGACAATTCACTTCGAGGGGGGTAAAGTACTCAGAAGGAACTCCTTATTTGGTTTTTAAGACAATTTCATTGAAAAATGTGGCTAAGATAATCAAAATACCGAATATCGGGAGGTACGTTTATATAAGGGATATACGATTCGTGGACCCAAATAGACAATTCTCTTGCAGGGACATATAGCCCATCTTCGAACTTCATCTGCCTGCAGACAAAAGACTGATTTGTGCAAAAATGTAATTTACTATCATTTTTCATTTTTGACGGATAGAGGGACGGACGGGGCAAAATGGTCTTAGAATTTTACGCTGATTAACAATATATAAACTTTTTTAGGTCTAAAATTATTATTTCGATGAGTTACAAATGCAATGACGAATTTAACATACCCTTAGTACTATGTATGTTGGAGGGTATACAAAATGGGAAGGCCTAAACTATGCAACCCTTCAACTCAATTCTGTTCAAAAATGTATGTGAATACATCAAATCACCGAATTTCGGGTGGTATCGTCATACTGCTATAGGTTGTTCCCACTGCAAATCACAATTCTTGAAAAATATAAAGTTCGGTATCTGTGCCAACAATTTGACATTAATAATTCTGTTTTTTGTCTATGGCTGATGATTGATCACGTGTTCACCTTTTTATACATAAGTATGTAGATTGCTCATTGTTCCCGACATATAATGCAGAATTTCAAATCGGCGCCAGCTATGTTTTTAAGACATAGATTCACATTCGATGTAACCTACAATTGAAGGTCGACAAATTATATTTATTAATTATAAACCATGTTTAGAATAAATCTATTCGACTGTGTTGCGTTTTTCAGCAATGTTTTTTACTTATACAGGGTGGGGCATCATGTGTGCGGGTTTTCAACAGAGACTTTATTTTAACAGAAAAACATTGGGTTTTTTGCTAAAGTATTGTGAATTGGAGTTAAAATGCTTCAATAACAGATCTAAACAAAACAAGTAAAAAAGCTGTAAGAACTTTAAATACCCTCCACAATTTGGACAAATTTTGGCAATATTCAAAAAAAATATAAACAAATAAAATAAATAAATAAATAAGAAATAATAAAAAACAAAATCCGTTAAAAATTCTTTCAAATAGCCGTTATATTAGGGTCTACACGACGACGTGAAGCTGCATAGGCAACGTCTGTCATAAGCCATTACAATATTCAAATGCGAAACTAAACAAGTAAAAAAACATTAAGTTCGGCCGGGCCAAACTTTTAATACCCTCCAAATGTGGCAAAAACCATTAAAATACCGAATATCGGGGGGTACCGTTATAGGGGAGCTATATCAAATCATGGACCTATACCTACAATGTTTCGCCAACGGAGCTAGAACCCATTATGACATACAAATACCAATTTTCAGACAAATCCGTGAAAAAATGTGGCAAAAAAAATCGAAATACCGAATGTCGGGAGGTACCGTTATATGGGGGCTATACCAAAACGTGGACCTATAATTACAATGACTCGCCACACGAACTGGACCCATTATGATCTACAACTACCAATTTTCACAGTAATTCTTGAAAAAATGTGGCAAAAACCATCAAAATACCGAATATTGGGAGGTACCGTTATATGGGGGCTATACCAAATCATGGACCAATACATGCAATGTTTCGCCACCGTAGCTGGAACCCATTATGACCAACAAATACCAATTTTAGACAAATCCGTGAAAAAATGTGGCAAAAAAAATCGAAATACCGAATATCGGGAGGTACCGTTACATGGGGACTATACCAGAACGTGGACCGATATATCATTTTCAATACCAACCATCCTGTACACAATACAAATAGCTCTGCTAAATTTTGGCGCCCTACGTCAAATAATGTGGGCTGTATCGTGATTTCAACAGACAGAGAGACAGACGGATATCGTTAAATCGACTTAGAATTTTATGCTGATTATGAATATATATACTTTATGGGGTCTACGACGAATATTTAAGGACGTTACAAGGTGGAGGGTATAAAAAGTTCAATAATGTATCTAAATTCATCAAATAACCGAATATAGGGAGGTATGGGGGCTATACCAAAATGTGGACCTGCACAGACGATTTCTTGTCTTGTCTTCAAATAGCAAATTTGAAACAATTCCGGTTGCTAAAATAATCAAAATACCGAATATCGGGAGGTACTATTATATGGGGGCAATACCAAAACGTGAACCATTGGATACTACAGCCATTACGAACTTTAAATACCAAATTTGAAACAATTCCGGTGAATAATGTCGCTAAAATAATCAAAATACCGAAAATAGGGAGGCACAATTACATGGGGCTATACGAAGACGTAGACCTACATGGCAAATTTTCAATAATAAAAGTCCTGCAGACATAATACACATTTGAGTAAATTTTTTTCGACCTACTTTATTTCGTTCGGAAGAGTGATTTCCACAGACGCACAAAAGGATAGACGGACAGACATCGCTAAATCGACATAAAATTGTATGCTGATCAAGAATATATACTTTGTGTTGCCTAAAATATATATTTCAAGGTGTTGCAAACGGATTGACAAACTTAGTATACCCTCAATACTATGGTGGAGGGTATAAAAATATTGAGATGTGCGAAATTTAAAGAAAATTTAATATTAATTTTCAATTTTATGCAAATAATTGATTCGCAAGTTTTTGGAGATATAAGTATTGAAAAATTTTACCCTGTGTGGGAGAGGTACCAGAAGGTGAGGACCGATATTTATCACACATATAGGAATATGTGAAGTTTACAAAAGACCGAATGCAGGGTTGTCCATATTCGACGGACCCATCTGGCAACGCCATAACTTTTGACAAAGATGTGACATCGCTTAATGACATACCGCGTTTGAAGCATCAGTACAAGAAGATTTTTACCATGAACCAATACACGCCACGCGAGCGCTCTGAAATAGTTGAAATTTACATTCAACAGAAGAAGTCAATTGTGAAAACTCAACGTGCTTTTAAAACATTAAAAAATGTGAGAAGTGCGCCTTCTAAGAACACCATTAAGCGTTTATGTGAAAAATTTTCGACTGGTAAGGCTCTTTCTAATCCGAAGAGGCCATATAAAGGTCGACCAAGGCGATCGGCCGAGAATATCGCTGCCGTACGAGCCAGTGTTGAGAGGTCCCCAAGAACATCCCAAAAACGTCGTTCTCAGCAGTTGAGCATGACTCGGTCCACTTTACAACGGATTATTCGCATTGATTTGCATTTGTTCCCGTACAAAATTCAATTGACACAAAGAATGTTGCCTGCGGATAAGCCTCCAAAGAGTCATGGGTCCGTCGAATATGGGCAACCCTGTATTTCCATTTTATGAGGGATTTGTTATTGTTAAAATATTGTCTTCTTTGTGGCGAGGTACCAGGAGGTGTGGCCCAATATCTATTATTTTCACACCAGATCTTGTATTAGAAGAAATATTGGGATGTTTGAAATTTAAAGAGAATCATATGGTTAATTCGCACTTCACGGTATAGGGGAGGTACCAAAAGGAACTGACCGATATATCCCATATTTACGGAAGATCTTGTTTTGGTAGAATCATTAGGATATGCCGAGTTTAAAAATAATCGGATGCTCATTTTTCGTTTTATGAGCATAACAGTTATTCCACATGTCAATCTGTTGCGTGGGAGGTACTAGAAGGAGTGGTCCGTTCAATACGTTCCTCATACCAGATCTTGTGTTAGTGAAAATGTTGAAGTGTGTGAAATTTTGAAGTTGATCGGACTCTTATTTCAAATTCTATAAGAGCTATTATTGTTCACAATGTAAATCCTTTGTAGGGGAGGTACTAGGAGGAATGGTCCCATATCTACCAGAATTAAATGCTCAATTCGCATTTTATGATCCTTTGGTCCTTCAAAAATTTGATCTTTGTGTGGGGACAAGGAGTCGTCCAATATATTGCATCTTCACAGCAGATCTTGTGTTTCAAAGGAATCGGATGCTCATTTCGTGTTTTATGAGCTTTGTGGATACTATAAATGTTGACCCGTTGTAGGGGAGATACCAGAAGGAGTGAACCGGTATATTCCGTCTTCACACCAGATCTTGTGGTGACAACTATTTCACATTTTATCCGAATTATAATAATTTAACATTTTGACCCTTTGTGGGGGATGTACTTGAGGGAGTGGGCCGATTTTGTCCATTTTCTAGATCTAGAACTCATGAAAATATTGGGATTTGCAAAGTTGGAGCAAAGCCGGATGATTCTTTCTTTTTCCATGAAGCAAATTCGTTTCTTTACAAATTTCTACCTTTTGTGGAGAAGCTACCAGAAGGAGTGGGCCAATATTGGCCATCTTCGATAATGATGTTACGATGTTCTTTTTTTCTTTACAAATTTCTACCTTTTTTTGGAGAAGCTACCAGAAGGAGTGGGTCAATATTGCCCATCTCCGAACTCGATCTAAATTTGATAATAATTGTACGATTTTCTAATTTTGTATCAAATCGGATTCACCCTTCGAGAGTTATTATGCGCATCAACCACCCAGACTAACAGACACCCTCAGATTGACACCAAATGTCATGAAACGGATTTGGTCCAAAGAGTCCTAGGGTCTAAAACCGTTATATCAATGAGACACGCTTTGGCAGCCATATGGCTGGGGGTATACAACTGTGACAGTTAATGAAATCAATATCTTTACGTGTCACCCTTCAAAATGTTCTGTCTAGTTAACGTAGTTTTCAACATTTACGTTTCGAAAAAGAAACCATAAACGAAACGAAGCACATAAAAAATCATAAACTATAAATATTTATTAATAGCCACCAGCAACAATGCGTAAATGAAATTAATAAATTAAGTCTGAGTTGTCTTAGCCTGACCGATCGGTCGATATTGATCTAGTTGCGTATTATTTGTACAAGCAGCAACATCGTGCGATAGAGTTCAAGTTTAATAAATAAAAAATAAAATAATTAAAAATGCTGTTGTTAAAATTTTATACAAACAGGCTGCCTTTGGTATTAATAATTTGCGAATAGGCAAGTGTTATATTAATAATTATAATTATTTGTGTATATTGCGAACCCTGGAATCCTGTAAAATATTGTGAAGCATAAAAGAAATTATGAGAAAAACCTATCCATGGAAGGATATTACTGGCTAAAGTATAACTCTTGGACACAATTTTTCCCAATTCGAAACAATTTTTCTCAATTCCTCAGTAGGTAAGAGACAAATGCCTGGCGGACCGACTAAATGATATCCTTCTTCAATATGAATATATAGCAGAGATACCGGTGATAAATATATGTTTATATTTGAAATTTGTGTGAATTGAATCATATCAACTATAATCGTTAGGAATGCGTATTATAAGTTTGGATATGTATGGGAGATTTTTTGAATCGATTTCCACTAAATTTGTAATGGTATATTGCTGTTGCATGTGCAAATTACACTGCTCGAGACAAGTGTCTTTGCTGCAAAGTGCATTTTATGTCTTTCGAAAAAAAGAAACATATATATGATCTATATCTTGTTGTTACAAAATGGTCAGGCTTAATGGATAACAACTTCTGGGGAGAATATTCCACACAAAAAACAAGGAAACTGATGAGGATTGGTGGCTCTTTCCGAAAGCTAGGCATTTCCTGTCTTATCCCCTGAAAAAGATTACCATCGTTCTCCACTAATAAGCAAACGTTGTTTTTATAAAAAAACAACAATAAAGGGATTAAGTCTGACTATTTTGCCAGAACAAAATACTATGGTATCCCGAACAAACAAGCCAACACTGTTCTATGATCTATATCTAAATCGATCTGATCAAAACTTGGGAGATATTATTCTTATCGGAATTGGATCGCATGATCATTAACAAGTTAAAAAGCAGTAAGTTCGGCCGGGCCGAACTTTGAATACCCTCCAACATTTGGAACGAATTTGGAAATTTTCACAAAATAAAGTCCTTAAACAATTCTGTTAACATTTTAAAAATACCGAATATAGCTGTTATATTGGGGTCTATACGACATGGACCTACATAGGCCTTATTTGTCATAAGCCATTACCATATTGAAATTCGAAACTTGAAATAAATGGTGAATAATGAAGCTAAAATCATCAAAATATCGCATATAGGGAGGTACGGTTATATCGGAGCTGTGCGAAGACCTGGACCACCATAGACAATTTTCTGTCACAGGCTATAGCATCCATAACGAACTTCAAATACGACATCTCAAAAAATTTCGGTGGGTATTGTACCTACCGAATATAGGAGGTACTGATATATGGGGCTTATACGAAGACCTGTACCTGCATAGACAATTTTCTGTCACATACTGTAGTTTCCATTACGAACTCTAAATACGTAATTTGAAACAATTCCGTTAAAAAATAACGCTAAAATCATCAAAATACCGAATTTTGGGAGGTACCGTTATATGGGGGCTATACGAAGACGTGAACCTGCACATACAATTTTTTGTCATAGACTGGAGTATTCATTACGAATCTCAAATACCAAATTTGAAACAATTCCGGTGAATAATGTGGCTAAAATCATCAAAATACCGAATATCGGGAGGTACCGTTATATGGGGGCTATACGAAGACGTGGACCTACATGGCCCATTTGCGAACTTAACCTGCCTACTGGAAACATAAACACGTGTGCAAAATTTTAGCTTTCTATCTCAATTCGTTCGAAAGATAGCGTGATTACAACAGACAGACGGACATGGCTAAATCGATTTAGAAATTTACGCTGATCAAGAATATATATACTTTGTGTGGTCTGACATGAATATTTCGAGGAGTTACAAACGGAATGACAAAGTTAATATACCCTCCATAGTATGGCGGAGGGTATAAAAATCGTAATTTGGACCATACTAGAGGAAAACATGTGTGGGAGCTATATTTAAATCTGATGATTACCAAAAGTAAGTACGAGTCCATCAGGTTTTCATTTGTCCGTTACAAACAAATGTTCAAAGACATGCGGTTTATTATATAGCCCTAACTCCCACATACAAATACCTAACAGAGGCGCCTAGGCCCATAACAACCCACCTTTCCGCGGCATTGCTGTTTATACCGACGGTTCAATGATGGACTGTGGAACGGGAGCTGGTGTCTTCTGTGATACCCTTAATGTACGTGAATCCTACAAGCTTGGAAACGACTGCAGCGTATTTCAGGCGGAAATCTTTGCGGCCAAAAGGGCCACAGACCTGCTGGTCTGGAATACTGAGGTTAGCGGTCCGGTGACTATATATGTCTATAGTCAGACGGTCTTAAATTCCTTTACCATTAAGTCTGACGCTGTTTTGAACTACAGAAAAGCCTTGGAAAACACTGGGTTGTCCATCAAGCTCTGTTGGGTTCCTGGTGGGTATAATTACAGGTCACTGTAAGGTAAGGGCAATGACCTCGAAGTGGGATAGTGACGACATTGACTACTGTAGGATATGTCAAGATGAAGAAGAAATTGAGACAGTCGAACACTTGCTCTGCCACTGCCCAGCACTCATTAATGTGAGACACAGGCTGGTGGGTGTACTAGTGTCACATGATCTGTCTTATTTTTCTAACACTGACCCTATAGTAATTCTTCAATTAGCCAGAAGATTCAAGTGGCCAAAGACGACACGGCGAATTTCTTAGCCGTAGATCACACTCTATAACTCTATCTTTACCCCCTTCTATCAACCAGTCCTTCCTTTTTTCTTACTATTCTTCTAGGATGAACATGTTTCATAAACTTACACGAGCATAACCCATAACAGAATCGATTATAACATAGCTATGGCTCCTATGTATATGTTACATCCGATTTGGCGTTTAACTCCCTCACATTCGTAATATGCACTTCACAGCAATAATATTTGGTACCAGATATCAGATACAACTGAGAAATACCTGTTTCAAAATTTATCGTGAATTTTGGCAGTTCCGACTAAATTTAGCCTAAAATCAAGTGTTTCAAATATGGTAGCTTCCATATATATGTTTTTCCGATTCAGTATTTAAGTCCCACACATTCGTAATAGGCACTTCACGACAATGATAGATATCATATACAACTCAGAAATACCTGTTTCAAATTTAATCGCGATCGATTCAGATTCGGTTATAGCTCCCATATACATTTTTCTGCGATCTCAGGTCTATTTTGCACCAAGTGGCTAATCAGTCCAGAAGGGTGGGACCGATTTAGCCCGTCTTCGAACTCGATCTAAGTTCGACAATAACATTACTATGCACTAAGTTTGGACTAAATCGACAGTTATCGTGCGCGCCTAGATCGACTCCAAATGTCCTAAGCCTGATTTGGTCAAAGAGATCAAAGGTCTAAAACCGTTATTTTGCAATATGGCTAGAGAGGGTATATTTCATTTCAACGTGAAATTCGGAATCTGTCTAGGGGTGTTCGTCTGTCTCGCTGGCTGGCTGATGCACACGACAACTCTCGAAGAGAGTTCATGATATGAAAGACATAATATACCAATATTTCTATTGACACAAGATCTGGTGTGAAGACAGGATATATCGGTCTACATGCCCCACAAAGGGGTTAAAGTTTTGAATAACAAAATGCAAAATAACATAAAATGCAAGCTTCTCTCATTCCTATGTTTCTACTAACACAAGATTTTTTGTGAGCTGAAAATATCACAATATTCCATTCGGCAAATATTGAATAATGAGCTCGGGGTAAAGCCATTGAAATTTCAAACGTACAAGAATTTACACCGCAACAGAAAGAAACTAAGAGTTGCTAAGCTTGGCTGAAAGTGGCGAACTGCCGAATTTTTCGTTGTCCAACAGTTTGTAAACAAACAAAATTGATCGTGTTTACTTGGCAAAGATCGTGTTTACTTGGCAAAGAGGTCAGCTGAAAATGTGCACCTTCGGTTGGCCACCAGAACTCAAGCCCCGGCCATGGTGATACCGGACACCAATCCGTTGGACTATTGTGTCTGGAGTATATTGGAAAGAAAGGTTGACACTAAAAAATACCAAAGTAGCAATGACGCAGTGCAACATTCGGGCAACGTCTGACGGTTTCATTGGCCGGTTGAAGGCCATAAAAGTGCAAAGTTGACCAATTCGAACATATCTAAACTTATTCTAAAATGTGATGCTATTTCTGATATTTTCTGCATTAATTCAATCAAATTTTAAAAAACAAATTTAAAAATTATAGCGTTTGACTTTGTGGCAGTTTTTTATCTCACCCTGTAGTCTGACTACAGGCTATAGAGGGCAACATGGCTACAGAGGGAATACATTATTAAGACGGTCAAAGCGTCGAAATAACGGTTGAATTTAGACAAAATAATTTTTAGAATATTCAGACTCGATCTAGAGGATGTCCGTCCGTCTGTTTATCTGGCTGGCTGATGCTCACGATAACTCTCGAAGTAAGTATATGATTTAGTCCAAGCTTGGTGCATCGTATATTTTATAAAATTTAGATGGAGTTCGGAGATCGGCAATATCGGTGCACTCTTCCTGTACCTCTCCAGCAATAGATCAAAAATTCTAAAAAGCTAGGTCAGGTGCGAAAATAGACAATATTGGCGCACATCACCAAGTAACTTCGTACCACAAAGGATTAAAATTTTGAATAATTTTAATTCTCATAAAATGTGAATGAATTCAAAAAATTCAATAACGTCAGTCCAAGCATATTTTTACCATGAACAAATACACGCCACGCGAGCGCTCTGAAATAGTTTAAATTTACATTCAACAGAAGAAGTGAGAAGTGCGCCTTCTAAGAACACCATTAAGCGTTTATAAGAAAAATTTTCGACTGGTAAGGCTCTTTCTAATCCGAAGAGGCTATATAAAAGTCGACCAAGGCGATCGGCCGAGAATACCGCTGCCGTACGAGCCAGTGTTGAGAACATCCCAAAAACGCCGTTCTCAGCAGTTGGGCATGGCTCGGTCCACTTTATAACGGATTATTCGCATTCGCACAAAATGATCATGTCCGCTGAAGCCCATTTCACATTGAGTGGGACCGTAAATAAGCAAAATTGCCGTTTTTACGCCACTGAAAATCTTCAGGAGATTCAAGAAGTGCCTGTTCATGACGAAAAAGTCACAGTTTGATGTGGCGTAGTGCGAAAACGGTCATTGGGCCGTTTTTCTTCCAAAATGAAAATGGCCATGCTGTTACCATCGCGACATGATGACCAATTTTGTGATGCCAATTATTCGTCGAAAGCGTATGAGGCAGTTCTGGTTTCAACAAGACGGCGCTCCACCGCACTCAAGTCGCATAACAATCGATTTTCTGAAGAATTTGTTTCCAGGCCGTTTGATTTCGAAAAGTGGTGATTTGGACTGACCACCGCGTTCGCCCGATTTGACGCCGCCTGACTTCTTCTTGTGGGGATATTTGAAGTCAAAGGTTTACGTTAACAAGCCAAGGACCGTAGAAGAACTCAAGGACAACATTCGTGAGGAAATAGCCGCTTTTCCGTCCGAAATGTTTGCAAAAACGATGGAAAATGCAACAAAAAGGACACAATACGTCATCAACGCCAGAGGCGGTCATTTGAGAGATATCATATTCAAAAACTGATGTAAACGAATCTACTTGGAAAAAAATTAAATCATGAACATTGCCAACCGCCAAATTTTTATTTTTTTCTTTGATTAAAAAAAAACATGGGTCCGTCGAATATGGGCAACCTGTAATATATATACATGTATAAAAAATATATCTTTAAACTTTAAATGCTTAAGGTGGGTCCTAGTTCCGACACACGCCAGTACAAGAACTTTGTACCGCATCGAATTAATCAATTTTTTTCTGTTGCTGTCCACGCGACTTAAATCATATTCAATATTCAATGGAATGACATCTTCTATTCGCATTAGAATTACTAGCAAAACAACGTAGCTCGAAGAATAAATAATGTGACTAAGAATTTAATAATTTATTGTTTGCTTGAAACTAAAATGACAATTGTGGGTCAGTGTTATGGTTAATATGAATAAATTCTGAAAATCAATGCATATTTAAAAATGCTACTATGAAAACTCTTTAATTTATGATTAAGATATTATTCATGCATATATGAAAATAATTTAAACTTTCATTGCCCTTTGAATACCTCTTGGACCGATGATAGAGCTGCAAAACCTATAGTTTTCTAGCAAGAAGATGTGGGTAATTTAATTGGATATATGATTTGATAAAAATCGACAATCGACACTTAAAATTTGTATTAAAAAAATGTTTTCAAATTACAGATGCCCGCATAACAACACACCCGATTTTGGGTAGCCCCTGGCTAATGGTTGCCACAATTCTGTTGTACAACTTTTCAATACTGAAAGTGGGACCCCGATTCATGAAGAACAGAAAACCGTACAAAGTTGAAGTCTATATGAAGATTTACAATATTGTTCAGATTCTCATCAACGCAATGGTATTTTATGAATTTTTACGCTATGCCGTTTTTGCGCCGGACTATAGCTTAAAATGTGAAGCATACGATCCGAACGATAGAAGAGAGAGAACAATGAAATTGGTTCGACCGGTAGTACTGTATTATATTTCGAAAAACTTGGATATCCTGGATACCGTAAATATTTGAAGTGAGAATAAAAATTGGCAGCAATAATTGAATATGGTATTTATTGCAGGTATTCTTCCTTTTACGCAAGAAGTACAATCAAATTAGTTTCCTGCATCTGTATCATCATTCTATAATGATTTTCGGTACATACATGTATTTATCACAGATGTTTGGTATGTATATATTGATTTTTAACAATATATTCTTAAGTGTTATTCTGGATTTTGAAAAATATTCTTAGATTTTAGAAAATAATTAGAGAACAAGACAATTTTGAAATTATATTCTTATTTAAATTTTCTAAGGTGAAATCATGCATTTTTTAAAACATTTTAAGATTATATATTATTTTTAAAATATTTTCAAGTTATACAGGACTGTCATAGAAACCAATTTTGTCACTATAGGTTTTAAAAAATGATTTGGTGTCATGAAAATCAATGTTATCGGTTTTATTTTCGAATTAGAATTTTATCGGTTTTGGTTGTCATAGAAGCCAATATTATTGGTTTTGTTATTGCAAATAAACCAAGTTGCTTAGAGCTGTCACTTTTCATTTGCTTTGGATTTTTGAAGGATATTTAAAGGACCATAAACGTGGATTTTTTAAAGGATATTTAAAGGACCATAAACGTGAATTTTTTAAAGAATTTTTAAAGGATATTTAAAGGACTATAAACGTGGATTTTTTAAAGAATTTTTAAAGGATATTTAAAGGACCATAAACGTGAATTTTTTTAAGGAATTTTTAAAGGATATTTAAAGGACTATAAACGTGGATTTTTTAAAGAATTTTTAAAGGATATTTAAAAAACTTTAAACGTGGCTTTTTTAAAGAATTTTTAAAGGATATTTAAAAAACTTTAAACGTGGCTTTTTTAAAGATTTTTTAAAGGACTATAAACGTGGATTTTTTAAAGAATTTTTAAAGGATATTTAAAAAACTTTAAACGTGGCTTTTTTAAAGAATTTTTAAAGGATATTTAAAAAACTTTTAACGTGGATTATTTAAAGAATTTTTAAAGGATATTTAAAGGACCATTAACGTGCATTTTTTTAAGGACTATAAACGTGGATTTTTCAAAAAAAAATTTAAAGATTTTTTAAAGGACTATAAACGTGGATTTTTCAAAAAAAAATTTAAAGATTTTTTAAAGATTTTTTAAAGGACTATAAACGTGGATTTTTCAAAAAAAAATTTAAAGATTTTTTAAAGATTTTTAAAGGACTATAAACGTGGATTTTTTAAAGATTTTTTAAAGAATGTTTAAAGATTTTTTAAAGGACTATAAACGTGGATTTTTTAAAGATTTTTTAAAGAATTTTTAAAGATTTTTTAAAGAATTTTTAAAGATTTTTTAAAGAATTTTTAAAGATTTTTTAAAGAATTTTTAAAGATTTTTTAAAGGACTATAAACGTGGATTTTTAAAGATTTTTTAAAGAATTTTTAAAGATTTTTTAAAGGATTTTTAAAGATTTTTAAAAGAATTTTTAAAGATTTTTTAAAGAATTTTTAAAGAATTTTTAAAGATTTTTTAAAGGACTTAAAACGTGGATTTTTTAAAGGACTATAAACGTGGATTTTTTAAAAAAATTTTAAAGATTTTTTAAGGGACTATAAACGTGTTTTTTTTAATTTTTTAAAGGATATTTAAAGAACCATAAACGTGGATTTTTTAAAGAATTTTTACAGATTTTTTAAAGGACTATAAACGTGGATTTTTTAAAGATTTTTTTAAAGAATTTTTAAAGATTTTTTAAAGGACTATAAACGTGGATTTTTTAAAGAATGTTTAAAGATTTTTTAAAGGACTATAAACGTGGATTTTTTAAAGAATTTTTAAAGATTTTTTAAAGGACTATAAACGTGGATTTTTTAAAGAATTTTAAAGAATTTTTAAAGATTTTTTAAAGGACTATAAACGTGGATTTTAAGGATTTTTTAAAGATTTTTTAAAGGACTATAAACGTGAATTTTTAAAGATTTTTTAAAGGATATTTAAAGGACCATAAACGTGGATTTTTTAAGGAATCTTTAGGGGACCGACATGGATTCTTTGACAGCCCTGACAGTTATGGATTTTTTTAAGGAAAAGTTTAAACGACCATTTGTGATTTTTTTTAGAATATTTTAAAAAGGACCACGTACAGGGTTTTCAGAATAATTTGTAATGAAAAAGTTGGGCGGGCCGACTATTTGATACCCTACACCACTATGCATATTTTGTAGAGCACCCGTAACAAAATAATTTATATTGGAAATTTATTTGAAATAGATCATACCACATATAAACCTTTGGTTTTAGAGCAATTATAATTGGCTTTAAGAGTGAACAAATATGTGGGAGGCGTATCTAATCCGGAATAGATTTTCACCAAATTTGACGGAGACATTTTTATCTTTTATTCCAAATATCATTGCTATAGAGAGCATGATATCACTTTGAGAAGAATTATATTAAAAAAATAAATAAAATATATATATATATATATATATATATATATATATATATATATATATATATATATATTACTATTGTAAGGGATTTAAACACCAAATCGGTTAAAACATATATATGGGAGCTGTAGCTATATCTGAACCGATTTCCACCAAATTTGATGTACTTTCTTCTAGACTGAATTCAGTCCGATGTGACAATAGTCAGAACATTTGGACTGATGTTGGCCACTTGGTGCACAATTAACCCGAAATCTGTTAAAGATATATATTGGAGCTACACTGGTGGCCATAAAAATACAAAAATTATTTTGAATGAAAAATAATTTATGAATAACTAAAATGACCCAATTTTTGCTTGGTCAAAACCAAAGCAACTTTTTGTTTTTTATTTAAAAATAATTATATTTTGGCTAGTAGTCGATAGCCTAACCATTTTTTTTTTTTTTTTTTTTTGATAGCAGCTGCCCACCTACGAGGCTTTGAATCTGTAACACGCACAATTTGATCCTTGGGTATGCTTTCCCAGGCACCTTGGTTTTTTTTTTTTTTTTTTTTTTTTGAAAATATTATGCTTATTTGTTTCCGAATCTCGCTTGATCTTCTTGTCTACTATGGGGTTTGGGTCAGCTGGTTGCGCCGGCCATGACAAAACACCGCTTTTTGACTCCCACAACCAATCTTTGACAATTTTTGATGCATTTTTGGGGTCGTTTTCATGCTGAAACACCAAAATAATATATATATATATATATATATATATATATATATATATATATATATATATATATATATTCTTGATCAGCATAAAATTCTATGTCTAAATTTGACGTATTAGCTTCTAAACTGAACATATAGAAATCTGGACCGATTATCATCAACTTTCGTGGTGTAGTGGAAATTTTTACTCATTTTTCCTGTTACAAAAAAAAATTAAATTGGTAAGGCACTTTTCTTTTTTGTAAGGAAAATTAGAGATTGTATTAGAGTTTTGAACAAATTTCTTATAATTAATTAATAAACGACTGGTATCAAAAGGACTGCTAAAGCTATAGCCGCGGATTTGTAAAGAATTTGACTAACAACTAATCGGATTTTATAGACGATTTTTATACGCTCCACCATAGTATGGATGGTATATTAAGTTAGTCATTTCGTTTGCAACATCTCGAAGTATACATTTTAGATCCCACAAATTCTTGATCAGCATAAAATTCTATGTCGATGTCCGTCTGTGGAAATTACTGTAGCTTCCGAAATAAAGGAAGTTGGTTGATAACATTTTACTCAAATGTATGTTATTATGTCTGCAGGACTTTTGGTATTAAAAATGTGCCATGTAGGTCCACGTTTTGGTATAGACCCCATATTATGGTACCTCTCTAATTTCGGTACTTTCTTGAATTTACATTATTCACCGGAATTGTTTCAAATTTGCTATTTGAAGTTCGTAATGGATATTACAGCCTATGACAGGAGATTATCTGTACAGGTCCACGGCTTCATATAGCTCCCATGTAATGGTATCTCCCTGTATTCGGTATTTTGATGATTTTAGCTACATTATTCACAGATCTTTTTTTTTATATTCTGCGTTTGAGTATTGTAATGGTTCATGACAAAAGTTGCCTATGCAGGTCCACGTATTCCTACAGACCCTAATATAACGGCTACATTCGGTATTTTGAAGATTTTAACAGAATTTTTAACGGATCTTATTTTTTTGAAAATTGTTGAATTCGTTGCAAATGGTGGAGGGTATTTAAAGTTCGGCCCGGTCGAACTTACAGTTTTTTAACTTGTTAAAAATAATTAATTCTGAAGACTGTTTAAGCATTTCTGAAGTGTTTCTGCGGACTGTTAGAGGTATTATCAAGGATATTTTTAATGGATTATTGAGACCGATATCGTGGATTTTTCTAAACGTTATTTTATATAATATTTTCTAAAGAGTATTAAAACTATATTCGTGGAATTTTCAGACGTTTTTTATGAATATTTCGTAAGGACTATTTTAGGAGCTTTGAAGGATATTTTAAAACTATTTTCGTAGGGATAGTAAACATGTCGTTGTAAGAATATTTTGCTAAGAATCACATGTATATATAAAATCGAAAATACGCATATTAATGGTATATAATCGAGTATTTGAAGATACTTAAACAATATTCTACAGTCAGCTATAATCTAGATATATTTTAGGAATATGTGTTCACAGACCATCAGAAATAAATTTGAAATAAAGACAATTTAAATAAATGTTTATGGAATAGGATTCGGTTTGTTTTTGCATTTGGCATATACAGAAAATATAAGAGAATAAAAGTAAACTAGCAAGTAAGAAAACCAGAGCAAGTTTTGGTAGCGAATAAACTAAGCAAATAACCACTTTTCAAAGGAAGGGCATATATCTTTTTTGATATAGCATAGCTCAACCAATCTCGGAGATATGGGAACATTTTTATATTAAAATGTATTTTTCGGAACCACCTTTTAGAGGCCACAATTTTGAAGAAACCAGATAGTTTGATATACTTCCAATTGACTGACTACCTTATTTTAGTGGAATTTAAAATTTTTTAAACTTATTTTTTTTTTAATTTTTCTTAAATCCTTAAAATTTATTGATATTTTTTATTTCTGTAATCTTATTTATGTTATTTTGTTATATAATATATTATAATATTATTAATTTATAACCTATTTATTCTTCATTTACATTTTAATTCCAGCTTCGCATGTAACATCGACCGGCATTTTGAATTCGTTCATTCACGTTGTCATGTACACATATTATTTGATTGCTGCCACAAAACCGAAAATCGATCTAACTCCATGGAAGAAGATACTGACCAGTATGCAGTTAATTCAATTTGTTTTGCTGGGAATCCACTTCTCCTTGCCACTGATGTTCTTTACCTGCCGCGTTACCGTCTTCTGGACATGGGTTGCCTTCCTACAGAATCTATTCATGATTGCAATGTTTTCGCATTTCTACTATCGCACTTACATCCGTAAACCGCGAAAAGTCCAATGAGCAATACTCGAAGTACTATCAGCTTAAATTCCACATTGGTTCAGTTTCAAACTAAATATAAATTTATAAATAGGACTAAAATGTTATTGTCGTTTAAGAGTTAATTTTTCGTATTTTTCTAATCTCTAAAGAAATTAAAATGTTAATGTCAATTGAAAACTACGCATCAGAAATGTAGTTGAAAAGAAAGAAATTGAAAATAAATTTTCAAACCAAGCCTAATTTTATTATTATATCATTATCAAAAATATAATATAAACATTTTTAGCGATGATTTTTGACTTACTAATTATTGCTCCTGTTTAGAAATACTAGGAATGTTTGCGGGTCAATTGGTCAGCCACTGACTCTTCAGGGTGCCAATTTTTGTACAACAATTACACTATGAACCGAAGTCTTGTTAGAAACTAGAGCCTTTCATGAACTATCGAGAACCCCCAACGTATAGCTTTGTCATCGAATCAAACGTTGGAGGTATGGCTTATTTTTGAAAAACATGTGTTCAGTCAAATCCAATTTTAATCGAATTGAGATAGAAGGCTAATATTGTGCCTATATGTGTATTTCGTCAGTAGGGATATTAAAGGTCATGGTCATATTAGTTAAAATTGGCCATATTAGTATAGCAAGACTGAGCCTCTCGATATTCCCCAACCTAACTTTATTTCCCGGTATTCGATATTTTGACGATATTAGTGACATTTTCGAAGATAATTTTTAAATATTCGCTACTTACAGTTTGTAATGGGTTCTATCTTCTGTGGCAGATTATTGTCTATATTGGTTTTCGTGTAGCCCCCAGATACCTGCCGATATTCGGTATAACAATGATTTTAGCCAACTCACAGCCCCAATAATTTTATTTTTAAAGGTTTTCTTCACCTCGTGGTGGGGACATTAAAAGTTTGACATGGTCGAACTTAACAGGTTTTTACTTGTTAATTTATTAAAAATGCCTGAATAAACTACATACTACACTTCCTCAACTAAAAACGAGGGAAGTGACACCATCCGTCATCCTCCTTTCAAACCATAGTCAATATTTATTATTATTATTACTATATATTTTTTTTTTTTTTCAAGAAAAAAATCCCTCAAAAATTCTGTTAAAATCTTAAAAATACCGAATGTAGCCGTTATATTAGGGTCGTCGACGTGGACCTACATAGGCAACTTTTGTCATAAACCATCACAATATTTAAAGCGAAACTTGATTAAAAAAAATTGGTGAATAATGTAGGGAGGTGCCGTTGTATTGGGGCTATACGAAGACGTAGACCTGCACAGACAATATTCTGTCATAGGCTGTAGTATCCATTACTAACTTTAAACACCAAATTTGAAACAATTCGCTAAAATCATCAAAATACCTTTGTGGGGTGAAAAATGTACATTTCGAGGTGTTACAAACGGAATGACAAACTTAATATACCCTCCATACTATGAGGAGGGTATCAAAACCTTCGGGCTTCTACCCTGAACCAATTGATCTCCATCGGCAAAGATGTTTCCTCTTTTTTTATACATTTTATTTCCCTTTTCAACTTAAAACAAGTTAAAAAGTATCAGTCGGTATTGCCGCCAAATATATTCTCTCAGCCTATGTTCGATTATTTAAATATATTTTGACTTGTGTTAAGATTATTCAAACGTTTTAACCTATATGGAGCAGGTCCCGAAGGAATGGGCCAATATTGACTTGGGAATGGGCCAATATTGACCATTTCCTATCGGATCCAAAAATATGATATAAATATTGCGACAGATGTGCCAAGTCTAAATGGAATCGGATGTTAATTTGGCGTTTTATGAGCTTCATGGGAACAACTTCAATATTTTGTGGGGGAGGAACCAGAAGAAGTCGACCGATGTATTCCCCCTTCACACCAAACCATGGGTTAATACAAATATTAGGATGTGTGAAATTTGAAGACAATCGGACTTTTTTTTTACCATTTGTGGGGGAGGTACTTGATGGAGTGGACCGACATTGTCCATTTTCACACCTGACCTAGCACTGACGCAAATATTAGGATTTGCAAAGTTGGAGCAAATTCGGATTATCCCTTCTCTTTCTGTGCAAAAAATATATTTTTTGAAAATGTCGACCTTTTGTGGGGGAGGTATTAGAAGTAGTGGACCGATATTGCCCATCTCCGAACTCGATCTAAGTTTGACAAAAATATTACGATGTACCCAATTTGGACCAAATCGGATACTCCCTTCGAGAGTTATCGTGCGCACCAGCCAGATTTGGTCCAAAGAGACCTAGGGTCTAAGACCGTTATTCGACTAGGCACGTTTTGACCGTATCAAATGATATATACCCTCTGTAGCCATATGGCTGAGGGTATAAAAAGTCGATATTTCTTCGAGGTAGGCTTACATATAAACCACCAGTCTTGCATTGGAATCCGAAATTACAATTATTTAATAAAAACTACAGGCCAACATATCATTCGCATCAAAAAACCAGTAAAGAAAGTCTTAAAGTCGGGCGGGCCGACTTTATGATACCCTACACCACTTTGCTAATTTAGTAGAGTTCCACATAACAATTAAAAGTCTTTATGGGAGAATTCAATCATACACACCATGATTATAATTATTCGGACTTGTATTGCCCATTTGGTGAAAAATTAATTTGAAATCATATAAAGATATATATGGGAGCTATATCCAAATATGAACCGATCTCGATAAAATTGGGCAAAGACATTTCTGAGCTGTTTTTGATATATGTCCCTGAATATCGTTGTTACGGATTGCATATTACGGTTGTGGGTAACAAATATAACAAATCGGATGAACAATATACTACTAGCTTCTACTTTCAATTCTGTCGTAAGTGCCAAATTCCATCCCATTTGGGCAAATATTAGACGTTTGGTGCGCAATTAAAGGTAAATCGGACGAAGTTATATATGGGAGCTATATCCAAATCTGAACCGATCTCGATAAAATTTGGCAAATGTATTTCTGAGCTGTATTTGATACATTTCCCCAAATATTGTTGTTGCAGAGTGCATATTACGGCTGCGGAGGACAAAAATAACAAAACGTATGAACAATATATATGGGAGCTATAGCTATATCTGAACCGATTTCGATCAAATTTGGCATACCTATTTGCAGGTCCAATCTGATCGTACGTGCAAAATTCCATAAAATTCGGACGGATATTACACGTTTGGTGCACAATAAAAGCAAATCGGACGAAGATATATATGGGATCTATATCTAAATTTTTACCGATTATCTCCAATTTCAATAGGGTTCGTCCTTGGGCCAAACAAATGATCTGTGCAAAATTTCATCTGGATCGGACAATAAATGCGACCTGTACTTTGTTTACAAAAATACATGGACAGACGGACGGACGGACATGCATAAATCGACTCAGAATGTGATTCTATGCAGATCATCAAAAGGAACTATGGGTCTATCTCGTTTCTTTTTGCCTGTTACAAACAAATGCACAAAGACATAATACCCTGACCACCTTGTGGTGTAGGGTATAAAAACCCTTGGAAAATTTGACATGTGGTTTAAGTTTTTACCGATTTATTGTTGAATGTGAACTTCCCTAATATAAAGCATGGGACATTTGCAATAATTGGTCAGCTGATAAACAGCTGTAGTTTTAGGACTTTTTAACACTAAGAAAAATATATTTAAGTAAATAGTCCCATAGAATTACAGATTGAGGACGCAGTTTGTCAAAGGATGTAAATACTCTCAACAGAATGTGTCCTTTTATTAATGTTAACATTCTGGCATAAAACTTTAAATGCTTTTTCTTGAAAACCCTCGCAAAAAGTGTACCACAATCTGTGGTAGTAAAATTGATAATTTGAAATTTTTATGAATTGAACAGTGTTTGGCTTGTTTGTTCGGGATACCATAGTATTTTGTTGTTGCAAAATGATCAGGCTTTATCCCTTTATTGTTGTTTTTATAAAAACAACGTTTGTTTATTAGTGGAGAACGATGGTAATATTTACCAGGGGGTAAGGCAGGGAATATCTAAAATGAGGCCGGAGCTCGCGTTACGGTCAATGGAGATCGTTACCGCACCATGATCAATGATTTTTTGTTTACAAATATGGATGACATTGATCCGGAGGAGATGTGGTTTCAACAGGATGGCGCTAAGTGCCACCATCTACTTATTGAAATCAAAATTTGGCGATAAGTTGATTTCGACAAGTGGACCTGTCAATTGGCCTCCAAGGTCGTGCGATTTGACACCTCTCGATTATTTCCTGTGGGGCTACGTGGAGTCACTTGTTTATGCTATAAACCAGCAACAATTGACGCCTTGGAGACCAGTATTGTTCGTGTTATTCGTGACATACGGCCAGCAGTGCTCGAAAAAGTGGCCAAAAATTGGACGTCCAGAATGCGCTTCGTCAAGAACAGCCGCGGTGCCCATATGCCCAATATCATTTTCAAATTTTAATGTCTCGTATTGATCTTTCGAATTGATTAAAATTTAAGATTGTGTGTTATTTTTTACAATTTCAAGTTCTATCGGGCTTAAAAAATACCCTGTATTGTACATGATACCCAACATATTAATTCCTCAATCCAGATTACATTCGATAGATTTGCATGGTCAAAATTTCATCTTGGGCTAAGTCATGCTTTGAATGTCAACAAGACAGGTTGGACACCACGTAAAATGTCGTATTGGTTAATTCCCAATCCCAGACGAACGATTTAGGGTAGAAGGCATATATATATAACTAGACCTCTCCGACCGTCAGAGGGCTACAGATATTCTCTAAGTTGTATTCATAGATTTACCGGACTAACAGAGGATATTCCAATGAATTCTTGATCAGCATAAAATTCTAAGTCGATTGAGCGATATCCGTCGGTCTGTTATAATACACTGTCTTTCAAACGAATTGAGATAGAAGGCTAAAATTGTGTATACATGAGTATTTTGTCAGTGGGCAGGATAAGTTCGAAAAAATGTCATGTCGATCTACTTTTTCGTATAACTCCATATAACGGTAGCTCTCAATATTCGATATTTTAATGATTTTAGCGCCACTATTTTGTAGTTCCGTATGAATACTACAACTTATGACAGCAAAATTGTTTATTAATGTTCACGTCCTTGTATAAGCCTCATATAACTGTGCCTCCAAAGATTCGATGTTTTCATGATATTAGCGTAAAAAATTGTGTACGCAGGTTTTCGTCTTCGTATATCTCCCATATAACGGTTTTCATATAAACGGTATTTTTCGACGAAATTTTTTCTTAAAATTTAACAAATGGTGAAAGGTATCAAAAGTTCCACCCGCCGAACTTAGCTGCTTTTATTTTGTTTTATTTTAAGACCTAATGTTCCGTTTTATCATAATCCTCTTCTCTACTTTGCCCGCTGTTGGTATTGAACTAGCAATCTTCCGATTTTTTGTTAAACATTAAGAATTGTTTCAAGCATTAATCGAACTCACAAACTTTGGTTTTTAAATCGGAAGCACACTCTCTGCTTATTCCCAACCTCTCCACCCCCTCTCTCCATTATGTACAACCTACTGGAAATGTAAAAGGTAGTAGTACATAGAGCTCCCAGGTTTCTACCGGGGTACTCTGCAAAAATACCTGATTGCAAACCCATTATTTTATGAGGAATAAACCAAACTATGCATTTCAAATTTAAAATCTGATTTGTCAACCAATAGCTCCGTTTAAGTAACTCTTCTGTACTGTTACCGTATTTTCTGGAAATGGTGTAAAAATATTTTTCGTGTAACAAAATCCCTAAATAATTGGGCGAAGAACGTTCTTCACAAGCCAATTAGAAGTTATTTAGCCTAGGTTGAATTCCGCAATTTCTTGAAGACTTCATGACCCCTTTTAGGGTCTTTGAACTGCCAAAAGAAAAATAGTTTTCTTTAAAAAAAAAACACAATTAACATAAATTATTTCCGCAGCTAATGTTTTTTATTTAAAATTTCAGTTTATCGTACTTTGCATACAACACTGAACTAAATTAACAAAATTGAAAAAAAAGACTTTTAATGTTATTTGGCTGCTATTGCCTTCATGGTCAAACGAATTACGTTCTTCAAAATGAATATTCATTTCCATTGAATATTCGGCGGTAAGGTATCTATATTATATGTTTCAAAAAAAAAATTTACAAAATTTTCTGATATCATTCATCGAATGACTTTCTTACCAAGAGCAAGTAAATTCCATTACACTTTTGGGGCGCATGTCGGAATTGTGTAAAAAATAAAAATTTTTTATATGTTTTTTATTCTAATTACAGAGGGTGGAGATAGAGAGGTGTGAACGTGCAAGCACGTTTTTATAAGTTGTAAAAAAGCGTCAATTTCATCAGCCAGCAGCATGTTTTACGTTGTGAAATATTTATATGGATTATTGGCCCAGCAATATGCTGATCATGCGGGTAAGTTGTAAGAAGTGAATGAGACATTTGATGATGGACTTGTGACATTTCAATAAATGTTTGTTTTTTGGTTTTATTGCAGACCCCCGTGTAAAAGACTGGCCTTTGGTCTACTCGCCAGTGATTCCGGTCAGCATTATAGCCTTGTATTTATTGTTCGTCCTGAAATACGGTCCAAAATGGATGGAAAACCGCCAACCATTTGAATTGAAAAATATAATGCGTGTCTACAATGTCATACAAGTTATAGCCAACTTGGTCCTATTTGTTTGCGTATGTATTGCATTAAGTGCGCCGGTCATGCCTTAGCATTGTTCACTCTTTATTGCGTTATATCTTTCGCTATTTGCCAAAACAATCTAATTTGTCTAATGGATTTACATTTTTTTTATACAATTTTTCGTTTTATTTTTTTGCATTTTCTACATGACCACTGCACGTGGACAGGCCATTCCGAATTCGTATGGCCATAGAAACTTTAGCTTTCGCTGCCAACCTCCGGAACCAACAAATACCGAACCATGGATGATGAATTGTCTTTATGTAACCTATGGCTATTATTTAACAAAGTATTTGGACCTTTTCGATACGGTATGTACTGATGTATATTTTATGTAAAACAGTTAAAGTTACAGGCCATATATTGACCCATTTAAACTGCAATTTTGGTTAAAAAATTGCATAAAGTGCAGACTTTATTAAAGCAGAGTTAAAAAATTGGGTTGTGACAGAAGCGAAATATATTGTTGACCTTTAAACTCATTCGTGGAAGTATTACGTATTGGAATACATGAATAACAAATTTGATTTTTCAAAAGAGAACGGTAATGACTAAATTAAGTGAATAATTTCTGCTCCGCACTATATGCCTCATATAATGCATCACGAAACTCAAATGATGTCTACAACAAGTAAAAAAAAAACATTAAGTTCGGCCAGGCAAAACTTTTAATACCCTCCACCTTAGGGTAAAGGAAACATTAGAAGAAGTGTGGCAAAAACCATTAAAATGTCGAATATTGGGAGGTACCGTTATATGGGGACTATACCAAAACGTGGACCTATACATACATTGTTTCGCCACACGAACTAGGATCCATTATGACCCACAAATACAAATTTTTAGTCAAATCAGTGAAAAAATGTGGCAAAAACCATCAAATACCGAATATCGGGAGGTACCGTTATATGGGGGCTATACCAAATCGTGGACCCATACATGCAATTTTTGGCTACCGGAGCTGGAACTCATTATGACCAACAAATACGAATTTTTAGACAAATCCGTGAAAAAATGTGGCATAAATCATCAAAATACCGAATATCGGGAGGTACGGTTATATGGGGACCATACCAAATTATGGACCCATACATGCAATGTTCCGCCACCGGAGCTGGAAACCATTATGACCCACAAATACCAATTTTTAGACAAATCGGTGAAAAAATGTGGTAAAAAAACTAAAATACTAAATATCGGGAGGTACCTTTATATGGGGGCTATACCACAACGTGGACCTATACATGCAATGTTTTGCCACACGCTCAGGGACCTGCTATGACCTACAAATACCAATTTTAAGACAAATCCGTGAAAAAAAGTGGCATAAATCATCAAAATACCGAATATTGGGAGGTACCGTTATATGGGGACTATACCAGAACGTGGACCGATATATCTCATTTTCAATACCAACCATCCTAGACACAATGCAAATAGCTCTGCTAAATTTTGGAGCTCTACGTCAAATAATGTGGGCTGTATCGAGATTTCAACAGACAGACAGACAGACGGTCAGACAGAGAGACATCGTTGAATAGACTTAGAATTTTATGCTAATTATGAATATATATACTTTCTGGGATCTACGACGAAAATTTAAGGATGTTACAAACGAAATGACAAAGTTAATATACCCTCCTTTCCAAGATGGAGGGTATAAAAATTGTATAATAGTGGGTGAGATAAAAAAAACTACAATAATGTCAAACTCCATAAATTTTACATTTTTTTCTAAATTTTATTGAATGAATGCAAAAAATGTCCGAAATAGCATCAAATTTTAGAATAAGTTAAGATTTGTTCGAATTGGTCACCTTTGGCACGAATTATGGCCTTCAATGAAACCGTCACACCGCCAATGAAACCGTCACACGCTGCCAGAATGTTGCTCTGCGGTATTTCGGCCCATTCCCGGTGGAGCGCTTGCTTGAGATGATCGACACTTTGGTATTTTTTGTGCCAACCTTGCTTTTCAAAATACTCTGGACACAATAGTCCAACGGATCCATTGCGCGCTGGAAATGAAGCGAGGAACCTCATTTTGTAACTATTCTTGGGTGGCGCGTGCTGAGTGCGAAGGTGCTGAGTCCTGTTGGAATGTCAAGGGTTTGTGGCCGAAATGTTTGCGTACCCAAGGCTTTAATACACCCTCCAGAATATTTTCGCGATAATGTTCGGCATTTATTCTGATGCCACGGTCGATTAACACGAGCTGAGAGCATCCATATCATCACCATGGCCGACGCTTGAGTTCTGGTGGCCAACCGAAGGTGTACATTTTCAGCTGACTTCTTTGGCAAGTAAACACGATCTTTTTTTTGTCTACAAACTGCTGGATAACGAATGTTTTCTCATTGAAGAAAACCAAATTCGGCAGTTCACTACTTTCGGCCAAGCGAAGCAACTCTATTTTCTTTCTGTTGCGGTATAAGTTCTTGCACTTTTTGGAATTTCAATGGTTTTACCCCGAGCTCATTTTTCAATATTTGCCGAATGGAATATTGCGATATGCTCAGCTCACGAGCCAGCAAAATCAAAAAAAGTTTCGGTTTGTGGACCATTTCAACCCACAAATAATTTGTATTCATCTTTTAAAACAATGGGCTTCTATTCTGACCCTAACCCCACCTCCATTTTCAATCGGGATCGGGACATAATTGCGACTTGTAGCGTGATTACACGTGATATACATAGCTAGATTGACTCAGCTTGGCGAGATAGCAAGATCCATATACACAGTGTGAGGTGAAAAAAACTGCAACCAACTTCAGACTGCTGTCATTTTTAAGCCACTCTTCCGACAGCTGTTCAAATTATTCCAGTGACAGCTCATTATATTGTTTACAAGCGCACAAAAGCATTTTGGTGTGAATCTTTCAGAAAAAAATTTATTCGTGATGGAATTCAAGCGTGATCGTGTGATTTCTTTATATTTGGCTGGAAAACCAAAAGTGGCTATCGTTAAAGCACTCCAGCATTTAAATGTGAATATATCTTTTGTGTCTCGTACCATCGCTCATTACCGTGATACTGGTAGCGTAGCCCGACTTCAACAAGTGGACGGAAGAAAACAACAACATCAGCAGAAATGATTCGAAAAGTACAGAAGCTACTTGATCGAAACCCGCGTGGCGAAATGGCTCGTGAGCTGAGCATATCGCAATATCCCATTCGGCAAATATTGAAAAAAAAACGAGCTCGGAGTAAAGCCATTGAAATTTCAAAAATTGCAAGAACTTATACCGCAACAGAAAGAAAATAGAGTTGCTTCAGCTCGTATTGCAAATATCGTCCGATCCTCACGAAAATTTTCACAAGGGTAGGGTTGGGCTCAGAAGGGCTAGGCCTATGGTTTTCAAAGATGTTCGCAATATATTTAGAGGTTGAAATGGACCAACAACTAAAATGTTCCTGATTTTGCGGCCGTTATAAAGGTCACAAATAGAAAGCAAAGAACACGAAGTTAGAGTTTGGGACAGCGGGTAGAATGGACCACTATTTTGTGTAAATAATACCAAAATTAATACCAAATTACTTACAGGCGATATCCGAAATACACAAAATTCTAACTACTGCTTTATTGTGCTGATTCGTTGACGAAAATAGCCAAATATCGTAGATAATCAAATCATATATGTGAGACTAAATTTTGAGATACAGAGGGGCCTCTTGCCTTTGGAGATGATCGGAAAATAATGAGGGGGTTCAAATGAACAAAATTAGAAAAAAAATCCTGATCACACAATTGAAGCCAATCGACACGCCTGAGAAGATAGTTAAGGATAGGGAAGAATTCTAGCATTTTGGATGACCATTGGATTATATTTAGATCGAGTTCGGGGATGAGCAATATCGGTCCACTCCTTCTGGTACCTCACCAACAGAAGGTCAAAATTTAAAAAGAAAAATATTTTGCTGACCTGAAAGATAAATTATAATCAGATTTTGCTCCAACTTTGCAAATCCTAATATTGACATCATCACCAGGTACCTCCCTCTCAAAAGGGTCAAAATTTTGAATAAATATAACTCTTATATAAAGTAATGTGTAAGTCCGACTGTTTTCAAATTACACACATCACCATATTTTTATTAACATAAGGTGTGACAATGGAATATATCGGTCCACTCCTTCTGGTACCTTTCCCACAAAGGGTCAAAATTTTGAATATCCATGAAGCTTATAAAACGAGAAATTAACATTCAAACAGACTTTATACATCTCAATAGTTCTATCAATACAAGATTTCTTATAAATCATCAAATTTCACACATTACATTATTTCGAATTGTACAAGATTTGCTATGAAGATGGGATACATCGGTCCATTCATCCTGGTACCTCCCCAACATAGGCTTCTAACATATTGTAGTGTTGTAGAGTATCACATGGTCGGCCCCGCACGACTATAGCCTTCGCTTACTTGTTTTAAAATAAATATCACTACCGACTTGTCAAATAGCTTAAATCGGGGTAATATATTGGCTGTTGGCTGTCACTGGATCTTATTGGAACAATACTACACAGCGTCTAATCTTTTTATAAAAATATTTTTCATCAGGTTGCTTCTAAGTATGAAATAAACATTTGACGAAGTAAAATTGTCTTTAAAAGTGAACTTTTTCTAACCACAGAATTTTTAATTTAGGGTTGGATTTCGAAAAAAATTCATATAACTTTTTTAATTCCAGATATTCATTGTGCTGCGTAAGAAAACACAACAAGTGACATTCCTGCATGTCTATCATCATGCCGGTATGGTATTAGGGGTTCATTTATACATCACATTCTTTCCAGGTACATGCTCTTTCTTTAATTCAAATATCATCCAAATTCTTAAACAATTAATTTTCATACGTGTTTTTTTTTTTCTCAGGAAGTCACTCCACCATGTTGGGTGTCATAAATCTGCTCGTGCATACCGTTATGTATGGCTATTATTTTATTGCCTCCGTGAGACCATCAACATCATCGCTGTGGTGGAAACGTTACATAACGCAAATGCAGTTGGCACAATTTGCCTATTTGGCATTCCACTTTTTGCAAGTGGTCGTCAACAATTCCTGCAATCATCCATTTCTAATAGCAATTGTTGGATTTATGCAAAATATTTTCATGTTTTCACTATTTTTCGAGTTCTACTACCGGACATACATGAGAAAGGACAAGAAGGTGAACACTGCAGCTGTGGGAGTAGCAAATGAGAAACAATTGAAATCAAGTTAGAAAGAAGATGTAATTGTTTTAAATTTTAATAATTATTCTAGTAAGAATAAATAACAATATTAAATTATATTCTGATTTTGAAGAAATAAATAAATATTAGCGACAAGATTTGAATACAAATTTGAGTACAAAAAGTCGAGCGGGGCTACACCACTATAACAAATAAAAGTTTATAGTGAAGTGAATTTATGTGAAGTAGATCATATCGTTATATCTCCTCTGAAGCGATTTCCACTAAATTAGACGGAGGCATTTGTATCTCTCGCATATATTTTGGAACTATAGCTAGAGCTCATATTACCCTTTTTGTACTAAATAAACGTGAAATCGGAAGGTCGTCAACGAAAAGTCCATCATAAAATTTTAGATTCGCTCCAAAAGTGCTTATTAGATCTTTCTAGAACAGGGTTGCCCATATTCGACGGACCCATGTGTTTTTTTTTTTTTTTAAATCAAAGAAAAAAATTGGCAACATTCTTTGCGTCAATTGAATTTTGTACGGGAACAAATGCAAATCAATGCGAATAATCCGTTGTAAAGTGGACCGAGCCATGCCCAACTGCTGAGAACAGCGTTTTTGGGATGTTCTTGGGGACCTCTCAACACTGGCTCGTACGGCAGCGATATTCTCGGCCGATCGCCTTGGTCGACTTTTATATGGCCTCTTTGGATTAGAAAGAGTCTTACCAGTCGAACATTTTTCGTATAAACGCTTAATGGTGTTCTTAGAAGGCGCACTTCTCACATTTTTTAATGTTTTAAAAACACGTTGAGTTTTCACAATTGACTTCTTCTGTTGAATGTAAATTTCAACTATTTCAGAGCGCTCGCGTGGCGAGTATTGGTTCATGGTAAAAATCTGCTTGGACTGACGCTTCAAACGCGGTATGTCATTAAGCGATGTGACATATCTGTCAAAAGTTATGGCGTTACCAGATGGGTTCGTCGAATATGGTCAACCCTGTATATGAGTACGCACTTCCTTGATTCCTATTCAAAATTTCAATTTTTTAGCTCTAACCGTTCACATGAGACGATATGGTTCCAAATGTAGTACATTTTAGTACTTTTCGAATGCAAATTACCAATAACCCCCTGGCACATATATCATGCACTTCATCAGTGACCCTTGCTCCAAATTTAAGAGTTTTGGCTCTACTGCTTCCTCAAATACAACGGATACAATATTAAATACCTTTGAACACTTTAAGTACCGTTCCAGTACGAATTTCCAAAAATCCAACCTTATCTGGAAACTTCGTAGCAAGACTGACCTCCATCAAGATTCTAGCTTCAGTCCTTTCGTCTGGGCGTTGATGAATCGTTAAATCAGCCAGTTAGTTGCTTTATTCTTTCATTATACTCGCATATGGCTAGAGAGGGTACACGTCATTGGACCAAATCTATTTCAGGACATTCGAAGTCGATCTAGCGATGTTCGTCTGTCCGTCTGGCTGGTATCCAGGGAGCTACCGAAGGGAGTTTGTGAGTCCAAAACTTCGTAGAACGTAATATTATTATCAAATTTATGTCGAGTTCGAAGATGAGCAATATCGGTCCTTCTGGTATCACATCAACTAAAGGTCGAAATTAAAAAAAAATAATTAACTGACCATATTTTACTGACCAGTACCTTCCTCACAAACAGGCAAGATTTTGAATAAATATAACTCTTATATAATGTAGTGTAATAGTCCGACTGCCTTCAAATTACACACATCACCATATTTGTGAAAATGGAATATATCGGTCCACTCCTTCTGGTACCTCCGCCACAAAGGGTCAAAATTTTGAATATCCATGAAGCTCATAAAACGAGAAATTACCATCCAAACAGACTTTATACATCTCAATAGTTCTATCAATACAAGATCTCTTATAAAAATGGTAGAGTTAAACAATTCCTTCTGGCACCTCCCCCTCAAAGGGTGAATGTTCTAAAATGCCAAAACGAGCATACAATCCGAAATGAGCATCAGGTTATCATCAAATTTCACACATTCCATTATTTCCAATTATACAAGATCTGCTATGAAGATGGGATATATCGGTCCATTCATCCTGGTATATCACCAACATGTTCTTCAAGATCAAAAAAAAAAAAAAAATACAAGTAAAAAAGCTGTAAGTTCGGCCGGGCCGAACTTTTAATACCCTCCACCATTTGGTACAAATTTGGCAATTTCCAAAAAAAAAAAAAAAAATAAATAAATAAAATCCGTTTAAAATTCTGTTAAAATCCTAAAAATACCGAATGCCTATACGACGACTTGGACCTGCATAGGCAACTTTAGTCATAAGTTATTACAATATTTAAATGCGAAACTTTGTTTATAATGTAGCTAAAATCATCAAAATACCGAATATAGGGGGTACCGTTATATGGGCGCTATACGAAGACGTGAACCTGCACAGGCTGTAGCTTCCATTACGAACTTCAAATGCCAAATTCGAAACAATTCCGGTGAATAATGTCGCTAAAATCATCAAAATACCGAATATCGGGAGGTACCGTTATATGGGGGCTCCGTATATGGAGGTCCAAGTTATCATGGACCTACATGGCCCATTTACGAACTTAACCTGCCTACTGGCAAAATTTACATGTGTGCAAAATTTCAGCCTTCTATCTCAATTTGTTCGAAAGATAGTGTGATTACAACAGACAGTCAGACGGACAGACAGACAGACGGACATGGCTAAATCGTCTTAGAATTTTACGCTGATCAAGAATATATATACTTTGTTGGGTCCGACATGAGTATTTCGAGGAGTTACAAACGGAATGACAAAATTAATGTACCCTCCATAGTATGGTGGAGGGTATATAAACAAAACGCTCAAAGAAAACGAAATAACCATTCAACTCTTTTAAATTTCACACACACACAAACATTTTTGCTGAAACAAGATCTGTTGTGAAGATGATATGTATCTAAATTCTACACAAGGAGTTCTTTGTTAGTAATTTACCCCCTTAGAGAGAATTGTCTATATAGGTTCACGATATCCTCTATCCCCCATTTAATGGTATCCCCCTTATTTTCGGTATTTTGATGATTTTAGCGATGGAATTTTCTGAAAATCCTCACAAGGAACTCCTTGTACTTTCCTTTCTAGAAGATTACCACGTCTTCCTATGGCCACTATGTGTTGAGGGTATTATAAGTTTGATTGAGCCAAAAATTATGTAACACCTCGAAATATTGATTTCCAACATAGGGAAGCATATATGGATCTTTCTATCTCGCCGAGATTAGTCGATCTAGCTATGTATGTCCGTCCGTCCGTCTGTCCATTTTAATTTGTAATCAAGCTACAGGTCGCAATTATGAACCAATCCTCACGAAAGTGAAAATGGAGGTGGGGTTATGGTCGGAAAAGAACCCTATTGTTTTTGGAGATGATCGCACGATATTTAGGGGTTGAAATGGACCAAAAACAGAAAAATTTTCTGAATTTGCAGTTGCTCTATAGGCCACAATTATTAACCAATCGACGCGAAAATGTACATGGAGTTAGAGCATGGGAGTGGGCAGAAACCTACTAATTTGGGCGGCCATCGGACAATAATTAGCTGGTAAAATAGACACTAACTTTTATGTAAGAAAATAGGAAAATTTTCACTTAACCGCGAATATTTTCAATTCCAGCCAAATCACAAATACATTAAAAGATCACTTCTGACCATTACAATGATGCTAATAGCCAAGAAATCGGATATATAGTACAATAAGTACAATAAATATGTAATAGAATTGATCGTATTTATTCTGCTTATAAATCAAGAACCGTTGGGCCGATTTTCACAATTCGCATCAATTCGGAATGGTCTCTAGCCAGAAAACGATAAAATCTAAGAAAATCCCGGAAAAATATACCATTAAAAAAGTAAATATCTTTTGTCGAATTTCTTTCAATTTTTGTCATATTTTTTATCGCATGCTATTTTTTCAATTTGACTTACAATTTTGTATTGTAAATTTTCTACATTTTTACACCCCCCAACACTACGTTTTGAGGGTATTATATGCATGTCGCAATTATCGTCCGATCGTCATGAAATTTTGTATGGCGGTAGGGTTAGGATCACAATTAAAGCCTATTGCACATTTAGAGGTGAAAATGGACTAAAACAATTTTTTCAAAAAAAAAAAAATTGTTAATTTTGTAGTCGCTCTGTAAGTCACAATTGAAAACTTATCGACACGGAATTTCGCATTAGAAGAGAGTTAAGGACAGGGAAGAAGTCTAGCATTTTGGATGACGATTGGATTATATTTAGCTGTAAAATGGACCACATACTTGAATACTTAACAACACTACGGAGTGCGTAAATATTGGCCAAATTCTCCGGGTCAAAAAACTAAGGGTCACTTCTGGGCAAAACTCTTTGACATTATTTCCAAAACGAAATCTTCTAAAATGGATTTAGATATAAGGGGACTTCGAACATATTGTAGTGTTGTAGGGTATCGCATGGTCGCCCCCCCCCCCCTTGCTTACATTGTGTTGCGTATGGAACACCAGAATCTGACACCTACTATATGATGCGGGAAATTGGTGATATCATGAAATTGGCTCTCCCGTCTTTACTCTCCACACATCCTCGTTCAATTGCAATGGCAGTGACAGAATTTCAAATTACATATTTGCCAATTTGCATAATTATTTAGGAAATTTGCTGCTGTATTTATTTTTTCATTTAATCAATTATTCCACTATTTAATTCTACAACAAATAAGTTAATGTACATTAGGTGAAACAGTTACTAACTGTAAAGTATTACAAATAATAACACAATACATTTACATATGTTACATACATTACTTTCAAACAAATGCAATACTTCTCTTCTAAGGAACTTATGTCGGCCATCGAATATTGAAACAAAATTCCTCTCGAGAGCTCTCTCGGCAATACAACTCATCGAATATTTGTCCAAATTAGCAGCAAATAAATCACTTTATGCTTGAATGGACACTTTCGAGAACAGCTACCAAATATCAATTCACATTTGTGATATCTCTTGTACAAATATTGATGTGTATTAACAGAATTAACTCAATTAAGATTACAATAATGTAAATATTATAAATCAAATATCT